AATGAAGTCTGAAACAAACTATTCTACATGTTAGGGACCATTCGGAGCCCTTTAAACTGATTCGCAACGAAAGTTGTTTAGTGTAGGTGTTGTAGGCAGGAGACGGTGTTCGTACTGAAGACAAAATATGTTTACTTTATCACCATGGGTAGAGATCGCGTGGGAAATCAAGAGCACTCTACAACCTCTTTAAATTTAGGCGGCTATGAGTTGGTTAAAATGTATACCTCGTTTGGAAAAGCTCTTGTCCATAGCGAAGGAAAACACCTTTTATGCATCAGTAGTTTGTTCGGAGTCAGGGTGTCTTAATCCATAATTTGACGTGCATGCTTCTATTGCTGAGGGTAGTGTCAGCGGTTGGAAGCCTTTGAGGCACAATTTGAAGGTTCGCGTGCAGTGAAGGTAAAGGCCTGAGAACTTTAATCATGTCAGAGGTGATAAAAAAATTTGCTTGATTTACGGTTGAGAGATATAACTGACAAAATTACGCATCAACTAGCGCAAATGCTAAGAATAGAGGCTCTTTTGTAACACAATCGCCAAACAAAGGAAAGACTTTGCCATCGCATCCAACAAATTAACGCCGTCGTACGACTGTTCAACTTCACCTCTCAGGTGGTAATATATTATTTTTGCAAACCAAACGCATCTGCAAATTCCACTGCGTCTAAATAAAGCGCGTATGTCATTATCATGTTGCACTTAGTCGATCAAGCATTTTAATGGGCTGAACCCGTTGCACGTGGAGGGGTTTCATATCGTCGTGTTGTGGGGCGCCAAACCTCCCCTTTTTGTACATCCGCTTGGATTGAGTTAACATTCATGTCAAAGTTTCCTTTCAATTCGTCGGCATTTGTGCTCTCAGTACAAATCACTGACAAGTTAACAACAAACCCCTAAACAAGGAGACGTGTAAGGACATAAATGAGGCAACCTTGTTAACCACATGGAAGATCACGCAGTGTGCTGGAGTTTTTTTGCGGGAATTTTTGCTAGATATCGGCAGTGAGTTGTGGGCGCGGAGGGCGTTGAGGACCCCGAACAGCAGCTTTGAGAAATTTTCACGCAAAAGGCAATGGCGGGTGCAAACAATCTTCACACTACAGACTCTGAATCCATTTTATTTTACGGCAACAATCGCATATAAACGAGTGCTGCCCGATCAAGGCGCTGGTAGCCAAAGTTCTAATTGCGGAATCGTCCCTGAAAGTGGGAAATAGGGACCTGTGCATTGTAATCTGGGACCTGTAGCAGTTTGAGAAATTGGGAACAACCACGCAGTCCTTTCATCTTCACAACGTTAGTATAAGACAAAAAGCATTGAATTTCATTTCAAACACTAAGTGACGACACTGTGGGACATTTTCATACATCTTTGCATATTTCTGTTCGGGAACTTGCTGAAATGCTTCACCAGTTGTCACCCAACTCCAGCCTCTCAACTAGTCCAACTGCGCCCTCTGCCGCAGTCATTCGTCCATAGTGACGATGAACGTCTGCTTAAAAGCTTTCTTCAAGAAAAGTCTCTAAGTGTGTAGGTTGAATGTACCCCACTAGAGTTGACTGTTCGCCTTTTCCTTTAGGTTGTCCTTCACTGAACGTCTGAATGACATATGGGAGGACTGCTCGCCGACTTGTGAATGAATAAGTTGAGCGAAAACTGCGAAGGACTACTGCCATCGCGTAGTCAGCAGTGCTTGCATTGCATTTTTCGATCGACTTGCTCGTAGTCTTCATTTCATGACATTTCTTCCACCATTGAGCAGAGGAGCTGCGGCGTGGCACTCAACCAGCTTGGAGTGCAGGGTCATCACAGCCTCAAAAGCTATTTCGAAACAAATTCACATAGGAGTCAGAAGCGATGCTCATCGTTCCTTGAAATTCGCTGCTGTTGTCGGGGTGTGCTGTCGTGGTCCGACTGCATTGATGTCAGGTAAAGCGCCAAATGCGGTGCCTTTTGCGAACATTCCCAGTGTGTCTTTAGGCGTCCACACTTCTTTCCAGGCACCTCAAATCCAGTTTCATCACATTCCCTCCTACAGTCGTTGGTGGTCACAATGTATGCACCCTTTAGTTCTTTGCTCAAATGATTTCGTTGAAGTAGAAGAATTGCAGAAATTTGCACCTCTTTCGGTGTGACTCACTTATTGCATTTCACTTTTGCTTGTCCTCGATTTTGGTTTTAAGAGTAGTTCAAACGTTACAAAATCTAACCATCGAAGCACTCTAACTATGAGTTAATATGGTGCAGAATTAAAACAGCGAAAGAGCTTCCACTTTGATTACTGGCAGCGCTTGATCTCGAACGTTATGGGAAAGTTTTGACTGTTACATTATCACAAAAAGATGGCGAACTGAATCGGATGAGTTACTTAATCAAGAGGGTTCGATCTCTCAGCTTTAGTATTCCCATCTACGTCTGTGTATGGCTATTTCCTCTCCTTGATATTCGCCTACATGCATCAGTGGGGACCAAAGGTCATCGCGACGCAGACTCCCATCACTTAAAATCATCAACCCAAAGCCCACATTACCGCGTAAACTGTGCAATACTTTTAGCCTGTTATCTCGATCAAATTTCAGCTTCCCTCACGCCTCATTTGGTCGCCTACTACCCAGTGAGGGATTTGACCCTCCTTCCGCAATTGCGGGAAGGCCATTCTGTGAATGGTCTTTAACGAGAGCGTCTCAAGTATTGCGTCGATTAGAGGTAAACAGGCAATTGCAGCTGATGAATGTGATTGCTTTCTCCTGCACATAAGTCAACTCAAACAATTAGAAATGTGGGATGTTGCTTTTAATGGTGAGAGGCAAATCTTGCCTTGCTTTTCACTTTATCAGTGCTACAAGGTGGGGAAGAGTGCATTCCTCTACCGTCGGTCAAAACACGGCTTTATGTCTTGTTAGACATGCTACGTCCAACGGCGGTGCGCCTTCTACACTAAATGACCACAAGGCGAACAGGCGTATCGTATCTGCGCAATGAGGTGGCTTGTCATCTCGCAACTGGACACCGCAGCCCAATTCAAGGCGGGATTCCTAAGGTTTGACTGGATTCTAGCGCCAAAAAGTTGCCTATTTATAGCCAAATCCGACGCATTTTTTGTTAACACCTATCAATGGGCAAACAAGAACTGGAAATGCTAACAAATTTGTGCGTAATTTCATTTCAAATATACCTTTTTTAGTCCTTGGAGGTAATACATTTTCAGGAACAAAATTGTTTATTGCAGCGTTGTGTGTCACCTAAGGAAAGATGTTTTGACAATTTCAGACGATTTGATGAAAAAGATTTCGGGTGTGAACTACATCCATGGAGGCACGAGAATAACGTAGATGCGATCTAACACGCTAGACTGGCACAGGAATGAAAACTACGTGGACTTGACTAAAGTGCGTCTTATTTACTGGCCTCCAATTCCCTCCTACGCTTGGCTGCATTCATAGCATTGTCTGAAGCACTAGTCGAGTGTCAGCTCCGTCAAAACGGTTCCATGGGATGAATTTGAAGTTAGTGATAATTGGCACAGGAAATAAAGTTTTACTCCTTCCAATCATGATCTACGGCAAGTGGGCAGGTCAGTTGGCACTCCTTTTGAGGCCATTTAATGGGCAAATTGCTAAGCTCTCAACTTCAACAATCGTCGTTGCATAAAAAATATCAACCTCCACCGCCTAATCATGGCAAGTGAGAGTGGCCTCAGCCGATGACCTTAGCTGAGAGGATTTTATTAGCGAGGACAATTTTCTTGACCACCAAAAAACCAGCTGCCTTCATCACAAAACTGATGTGCTGATTTCCTCACACCTCAATTTGATTCTCTTAAAACTGATGACTTTCGAATGAATTTGTGCGACAGTGATGTCCACACGAGAAAGACGGCCAGATGAATGCATCGCCTCACATAAAGTTCGGTGATGGTTACTTGCTTCTCCCACGGAGGATTGACTGTAGCAAAATTGATGTCCAGCATCACAACGAAGGCTCAAACGGGAGCATCAGCGCTTTTCTTAGCCTCCTTCTTCAACACTCATCAAATGGAAAGCGACAAGCTATAAGGAAGCAGGACAGCTCCGATTATATGCGCCACAACAGCTCCAAGAAGGTTCAAATGTTGGAGACGAAATCGTCTTACTTGTCCATGCTACAGCGCTTGACAGACGAAAATACTGCTAAGAGGAAAAGTGGAGCTGCGCGTTTTCTTTGCTAGGAGTTTGTTACGCACAAACTCTTGAAACCCAATCCAAGGCCTTGCAAAGGAGGCCCGCAAAGGGAGAAATTCGACCATCAGGTGGAAAAAAGATCGTTTTAAGTTAATTCATGATGCACCATGCGTTGGCCCAAGACCTGTTCTGATGACGGTCCACCGACGGGTCTCCTAGCCTCAGGACTGCGACAGTAGCTCTTCCTACCCTCAACGATTGGTCCAAATATTTTGCCATCTTTTGACTTTTGCCAAGTCTCGGAGTGCTGTCCTTTTCGCTAACAATTACGCCCCTCACAATGTGTCGAGCGTCTCCTCCGGTGGTCAACAATGATAGATCACCATGAACTTTGATTCTACTCCTTCCTTTATCTTGAGCACACCAAAACAGATCTCTACAATTCACTTATCCCCTTCCGTACGAAGAGCAAACCAACGTCTAGGAATTGCGTTGGAACGTAACAACTAGCGGTTGTCCCACTCCACTACACAAATCCGCCGGTAGCAGGGTGCTGACTCATAAGGTAGCAAAACTTTGCGCATGCTGCGACACTCACATCCCCAAACACTTACTTGGCCATCAGTCCCCTCAGCAGGAAGGTGGACCCAATAGCCCACAACTGCGAGGCGTTAAACAAACAGGTCTACCTCATTCTGACTAATAACTTCAACACCGCTGGTAAAACCGATAAATTGTGTGCTAAAGAGTTGAATTTTATTTAAAAATAATACCGAAAGTTATCCTTTCGAAGTGATTCCGTCTCTTGTCATCTACTTCCAACTAGATGGACAGACTCACACAACTGCATGTTTTGTTCCAGGCTGTGCATTAACCAAGTTAATGGAAGAGGCCGCCAAAGCCGCAGTCACATTTGGCGGAGCAGAGAGGAGGCTATAAACTGAGTTTGAGGCATTCCTCCGCCTAGCCAAGTCCATATTTCGCCTTAGGGGCGTTCCAGTCATGTCAAGTCGGCTCAGCCTCTTCCCCCCCATCTGGGGTTGGATCAGAGGCAAGTAGGTAGGATAACATCCGTCTTGGGTGTACACGTGCTGCAGTGACATTCTCGAAGGTGCGTAGACAATAGCAGGTTTATCTGGCGCCTTGGGGGTCTCTTGCTCCTTTGGGGAGTTCAAGTGAAGACCGAAGTGAAGGCAGACAAATATTAGGGCAGAGATGAGAACACCGGTTAATAAGAGGCCTATAGCGATGCTGGTTAGCACCCATCGATGTGTTCGTCGGATGAAAGTGAAAATGGGACCTTCATTGGCTGGAATATCTGGAATCTGGAGCGTGGTATTCATGACTGGGGCTGCTGTCGTCTCCAACGAAAGCGGTAATGGTGATGTCTCCTCACAAAAGTTCTTTCTTAAATGTTCCATTACGCGAAGTATAATTCGGCTTCCTAGCAAAGGATCATTTGAACACATTTCGATGACTTCGTTGCTGGATACCTCTTGTGGAATCGCGAGATGTTTTAAGTTAGGATGAGTCGACTTAGTCAAAGAAAAGAGGACTAAAGGAAGGCTTCCAGCTTGGAAAAGATTGTTGTTTCCTTCTAATCGAAGTTCTGTGAGGGAGCAAAGACCCTGGAAAGCTGTGGGATCAATCCAAGTTAGACGATTTTTTGCGAGATTAAGGACACGAAGTTTAGTCAAGACCGTGTTCTCTCCACACCCACCGGTCCATTTACAACCAGTTATTTCTGTAAGATAATTGTTTGCCAAATCAAGAATCTCAAGCTTTGGTACCGAAACTAGTGGCGATTCGGCATCCAGCGACTTTATTCCAAGTGCAGTTTCCAGGGCTCCTGACAACTGATTGCCGGAGAGTCGAAGAAGTCTCAGTTCTGACAGCCCGAATAGACTGTCTCTGTAGAGTCTGGAAATTTTGTTATTTTGGAGGTAGAGATTACGCAAGACATAACTTCCAAAGGTGCCTAGTTGACGTATATCTACAAGCTGGTTATTGCTGAGATCAAGTGTAGTTAACGCACTTGGAAGGGGCTCCAAAATGTTCTGCCCCAGACGCTTCAACATCTTACTATCCGTGATTGAGAGTAGTTGAAGGTGTGGCAAGAAAATCAGGAAGTTTCGATCAATGAATTGCAATTTCTCGGAGCGGATTACAAGACGTTCCAGGTTATAGAGGGGTTGAAAGATGTCACGCTGAAGTCGTGCTAATGGACCACCATCCCAGATCGCGAGGACACTTATATGGCCACAATGGGAGAAGAGAGAAGGATTTAGTACTACCTCTTTTGCGTCTCGGTCGCCCATAATTTCCAAGTGCAAAGTGTCCCAAGTGGTAATGCAAGGGATGACCTTAGCCTCTGGCTGAATCCAACATTCCGCTGTTAATTTGGAACTGTTTCCTGCAGCCGGCGACACCTCACATCTCACACCTTCAACATTCTCCGTACCACCTGAAGAGATGAGGATTTGCAGAAAGAGGAGACCGAAATAGAATTTCATTCCGCTTGATGACAACAGCCCATTGCTCAGAGGAGTGGCTAAGCCGGAGAGTGCCAGTAAAGACTGTTTACGTTGTGGCACAGTAAATACTCTTCTCTGATTGGTTGATGAGGGCACGCACTGATGCATTTGCGCGACACATGTGTGTGCCAACGTGCTTCTGTGCGGTTAGTCCACTAGGCACATCCGCTTTATTTACCTACTTTACGGCTTAATTTTTCACTTTTATTACATACTTTATCACAACGTCAAAAAGCCTGACCCGAAGGATGGCTCCACCTACAGCGCCCAGCTGTAGAAGCCCGTCTTTATAATTGTGAAAAAAGGAAAAGTTCAGATCCTTTGTTGAGAAGGTTGTGCTGTATTCTTCGCAGTGTCTGGAGATAAGGTAAAAGGGAAGGGAAAATGTGACTTTGAACACTTTATCGAGTAGCATTTGGGTGAATTATGTGGGCTTTACGCCTCCCCTCTGACAAAAAAATGGTCGAAAAGCTTTGGGCAAGCCAAGCCAATGCACACTTAGTCCGCTTTTACTCCCTGTCTATCTTTTTGCCCGCTTTTTGGAACAGAAGTGGATTGTTTGCACTACTGCTTCCATAAAAATATTGAGGTTTATTTAGAAGAAGGGAGGATGCCTTCCACACCATCCTGCACAGCCTTCCAGACTCCCCCGCCCCCCAAGGTAGCATCAATCTGTGAAGGGTTAATCGCAACGAAAGTGTTGAACAAAACATTGCAGTAGGGGAATGAAATTTACAAGATTGCGTCGAAAGAGGCGTCTGAAGGGGACAGCGTCTCCAAAGTGCAGAACAAGTAGCTGCAAACTTTATTCACACATTCACCAAATCTTAAATGAAGTCTCTTCCATTTCTTGGTATTCGACCTTGGAGAAGACTGGTTTTGAAAATTAACGCTTGCTAAAGTGTAAATTCAAAAAAAAATATCGGTGCTGCCTTGTGCATAGGATCGCTAAACTTTTTTCGTATGTTTTTGTAGGCACTAGAGTTACCGCCTTGGAGAGTCTCCTGCACTGGTCAGAGGTCGTCAGACTTTCTGCGGTCCTGCAACAATTTGACAACGCCAGCTCAATTATCACCTGTTCATGTTCCTCTAGATGCTCGACACGAAGTAAAGGATACAATCTTCAGGAGCGAGGATCTGGGACGGCTGTTGACGAAGGGGTTGAATGTGGTGTTTAGCCTCAACACCTTGGCGTCCAGCAGGAGGACTATAAATAAAGCTCGTACCAAAGCTGTCCACATTACCTGTTGGGAGACGTCAATTAAGCGAATGCCAAGAAGGCTTGTCGGCTTTAACGTTTCTTAAAAGTCTGCTTCCTGCTACTGTTAGTCACATTCAATAGCCGGCATCCTTCACTTCCACCAAATTAGAAGTTTCAATGTGTCAGCAGATTATGCAGGAGAATCACTGAGATCACAGTCAGACATCTCTGCTGCACTCAGGCGGTTGGTTTGTAGATGTTCCCACCAAAGCACTGTCCACATAAAGTAAGAAAAATGTCGATGGTGTTGCTCAGAAGAGGTCAGAGGCTATAAAATGCTTTGAGACTATTTTCGTCGAACTTGTCGACCTGACTGCACGACCTGCAGGCCATAACAATGGCCTCCCAACCCAATTGTGTCTCGAAAAGGCACATTCCACCGCAGCACTGCAGCCACCGCCGCTCCCTTTAAAGCAGCTGGGCGCTGCACAATTAACTACCATTCACACACCTCCTTTCGCTGTGCCCTTCTTGAAACTGACTCATTCTGCTTCAAATTAATCATTTTGATGCTACTTATGCCTGATAAAATGGATGACATTAAGCACTGCGACCCTCTTCTTCTCAATACTACCCTTTTTTTCCCATTCTACCTGCAGAATTAGCAATCGAATCGCATTTCATTGAACTCGCTTAACAACTCTACCAGCCATCTGTTATCCACTTTCGACTTGTGCACTGGTTTTCTATCATTCGTGTTCCATAAGGGCACTAAATTTATCATCCTTTAACATTTCCATGCCAATTATCTTGAGTGACCTTTGTGTAATAAAAGTTCATTGTGTTGATTAAAATGCATGTTGTGGGGCACCGAGACTTCCTTGAAGGCGAAGAAAGACCAAACACAAGAGCACAACGTGCGTATTTAGGCTTCTGTGGTGTCTAGCAAAGGTACGCAAGCGGAGACCTAGGCACTGATGAGGTCAGAACGACAAGCTAAAGTAAACGTTACATTGCCTAGCTCTCCTCTCTTCTTGATCACACTTCTCAGCGATCTCCTTGGACTACATCCTCTCCTTCCCTTTCCCCTCCTCCCCACATACCGGCACAAGTAGGACAATGTAATGGGGTTGAAAGCGTGGGAGGAATGCCTCCTCCCCAAAATACCTATTGCGACCATCAAATTCATGTGAAAGAGGATATTTGATTGCGATAACACTGACCTTCCTCGACATTTCTTGACTTTCATCTTTATTGGAAGCAGTGTTGAGGGAGGGAGGAGTGTTTGGGTTATCACTTGAACCCACTGACAGTCAAAAGAACACTGGCCTAAAAACGGTTTCTTGAAAGGGGGTAGGATTCTTTTCCTTGCCCTTGCACTGCGCTCACCATCGATAACTACTCTACTTCCATCCAGATAGAATGGAAGAGGAGATTTGGTATGCTCAGCAAATTGACATTCTCACGAGATTACCAGTGGACAGCTCCACAATGCAAGGTACCGGGGCGCCAATCGCATTCACACAGAGCAAGAAATTTCGAAGGCGCGAATCATTCACATCTCTCTTACAAACGCTTACTCTGAGCTCTCTTTTTTTCAGAATATTTCCTTCATCTGTGTTAAATTTTAGCATTTAGTACAAAGAATATGCGTCCTTTGGAAGGTGATTCATCGCCACCAACATCAATTTGGCGTTCAGACACTTTCTCATGGGTAAAAGAAAATTGTAATACTGGGACAGTATATATATCAGTGCTTCGTAGAGAAGATGAAGACTACAGAAGGTGGATTTTGATGATCTTGACCAATAAAAAGTAGACCTTGAACAATAAGGTGCTATTTTATGCATCAAGTGTAGACATTTGCGGAGGATGAAGTCCTAACCGTTCAGGTTTGGATTTATTGCCTCTCTAAACATCCTTCTCCAGTTGTAAAACATATCGGCACCTCGAAAATAATTTTTTTGGATAAGACACTTGCCAAGATGGACGTAGTGTTTACAGAAAAAAAACTTAAGCTCACCGTTTATGTAGCTTAGAGTCTTTCAAGTGGTGCTGTGCCAGTGACGCTGTTGGAATTCGCATCTCAGTTTCATAATTTAATGGCTAAACTTTAAATATCCATTTAGTTTCATCTAAAATTACCACTGTTTAAGAAACCAAACAAAAAATACGCTGATGAAGAGGAGGAGACATTGCCACTCCATGATAGGTGAGCTTTAGAATAGATTGAGTAATTTGGATGGGTACCACCTTCAAGATCACAATCGACATCTTTGACCACCAAATGTACTACACCAGGTTCCGCACATCTGTGCTGAAGAAGAGAGAACTACTGAAGAGATGTAACGTGGTGTCAAGGCAGGGAAGGGCTCAAGTCCGGCAGTGATACAGAAGCGAAGCCTCAAGTATCAGCGAAACAAAAACAAATAAAACTTCTTGCTTCTTTAAACATTAGGAATTTTCTACCAATTTGTAATGTCATAAAAACCAACTAAGTAAATCCTGATCTTAACCCGCCATCCGTACTTATAGTGCGTCTTCGTGGCCCCATGGCAAGGTGGAATAAGTTTGTAGCGACACTGCAAAAGTGTCAACGAAGTCAGATTTCATAAAAAAAGGGGAACTCATTGAGTTTGTTGTCGACTAATGCAGGGAAAAAGATTGGAAGACACTGCAACTTCACGTAGTCACACGCCACTCTACACCTCAATCTTTGATTCTCGACATCAAACTCTTTAGGCTTGCTACAAGAGGTATTCGTTTACTGCAATTACCAACAGCACTCCACATCAGGAAGATCATGTATGGTTTGAAAAGTGAGTCGTAGTGCTTCTCGTGTTAATTTCCAGCCCTAGTTCATCCAGTCCACACTTTGAACGATTTTGCTGACAGCTTCTAATGGGTTAATTTTATCAAATTCACACAAGCATGAAAATTCTCAACGTGATTTAAAATGTGCATTTAAGTAGAAATGAACAGGGAAAAATGCTGTTGGTTTGCACACTGCATCAAAAGAACCCCAGATTTGGGTGCAGATTCTTCTCAGGTGGCCTTCATTCTATGACGGATTTTAATACAGGCGCGTAGGCTCAGCCAACCATTTGCAAACTGTCAAAGTGACAGTTACTTTCGGTGGAGGGGTGTTCCCGGTGTGGCGGGGAATGTAAAGAACGAAGTTTCTTAGATGTGGGTGGAAGGAAGAAACCGAGGTCTGAAGGAAAAGGTCACTGCACCGGGCTTTCCCCGGTTCTGGTAACAGGGATCGGCGTGACTGCAAATGTCAAGGTTGTCACTTAGAATGCACATTTTGGGAGGCTTTAAAGCATAGCTTACGATTAAACTGGCGTGCTGATGATGCCCCTCAAATAACGTTTAACTACATTCTTTTCTGTCACGCATTATAACTTTGTGAATTACCTACTCCTTTTAAATACAGACAGCAAACCGAGAAGTCAAGACTTCGAAAGTTGAAGTAAACTATTAACGCGCATTTAAGCAAAGGATATTTACTTCACAACCCATCCACCACACCGGAAATAAGTTCGAGTCGTAATGAAAACAATTGCAGGTGGCAAGTTCACAAATATAGTTTTAAAAGTAATTAAACTTAGTCACACGTGATTTAACAATCACCCTATCTCTAACTGAAGGTTAGATATTTGAATCTAGAAACAAAGCCTGTAATACGTTGAATGAGATGGTATTGTTGACGATGACGCAGTAAAAATCTGTCAGAATACCCGTGCTGTTAGCTCAGGTAGCAATATGTGCGATCACAGAGGCGTAAACAGTGACTTATCAACTTTTTGACGCATTTCTCACAGAATTTCGCCATGCATTTTGCTTTGTACATCATTATTCTGAGAATTTTCAGTCCCCACTTACTCTCACGAACGTAAAAGCATTCTCACCGGAAGATGAAGCTTAAAACTTCAAAAGCCAAATAAACGTCTGCCGAAGCATTAGCCATATGAGAAAGCTAGACGTGAGAAATCAATCTCATGGCCCCTACCTACCGTTCAGACATGGATTAGAAACAAGAGAAAATGCAAATAACAAAGCCTATATGATAGACCTACTTAACCAATTAAGTGTCACTGACTTTCACCACTGTGAGCTGTGTGCCATGACAAAACGGGGTAGCAGACATCAATTCATCCCTATTGTCAAGTGGCTAGATTGTCGCATAATCACGTAGAACATCGAGGCTTTTTAATCAAACCAAGACCGCATTTTTCATCCTACCACCGGAATCTTGTTATGCAGCTGTTATTAAAACTAATAGCCTACAGATCTTAAGCCAAGATGGCACACAACACCAGAACCACACGCATAGAACTGTCAACAATTGGGGAAAGTGTAAGGTCTAAACCCGCCGACACTCCCTTATCGTCAGCAGAAAACTCACTCACGAGCAAGACACGGGAGGATCACTAAATTTTCAAAGACTAATCATCCTCCATCCATCAGTTAAGGTCTAAATGGATTAGATGCCACCAAGGCGAGTAAATATTTAAGAAGTGAAATGGGCGAGCTTGAAAATTTGGTCGACAAACAAGCAACTATTGGTTTCGGCTAAAAACATGCCTTTCCATGGGACCAGTAAGCATAAGCACTCAAGGAGGCTTATAACATTTTTTAACATATCCAAAAGATTCATGATGATAGAGACTGGCAAGCTACGATTTAACAATGTCATAAACGCTAAAACTTCCTAAACAATGACTCTGCAGTGATTCGAGCATTCAACTACCGCTACCACCAAGAGTAATGGAAACACATTTATAGTCTGTGAAAATGAGTCAACAAGAGGTTTTAGGGAAGACGAGAATGATTCAACCTACAGGTGTACTAAAGGCACATTTTAGGTAAATTTTAATCAAATACCTCGGACGGACAAAGCGCACTTTGCTAGCGGTTATGAATAATACTAACGCAAAATTTGTAAAGGAAAAACCAAAATACCGTCTAGTAATACTTATAACCACCAAGTAAAAAGTATTTCAGAGGATTTAATGCTTTCACCACATTCAATTAGGTCTTTCTGTGAAGACCACGCAACAAACCGTAGCAATGATGGGATTCATCGACTCTTTTCAATAATAAGAACGAGCAATGAACGGGAAGTCTCACGTGCTGGCGTGATTTATTATACTTGAGTAGAGTAAATGCGACGATACATTAACAATGATGAGAAAAATGTTGCTATTTATGGGAGGATAAGTAGAATATCTTATTTGTAGTGAGAAAAATAGTCGGCATCTGAATAAAGCAATGGTTTAAAAGCTCTCGCCTCCCATCTCCTCTTCCTTCTCCGTCTCTCCTGCCTCTACCAAAAACTGCTTTCCAGCTTCAGAATGGAGGATGATATTTTGTGCAGTGATAGATTGCATCCAGTCGTTAGTGGTCTTCTTGAAGGAGATCAGACAGCCCTGCACAAACACTCGATCACCCAAAGAGACGTTCTTGATTCGCTCTATAAGTGGTTTGTCAAAGACCTGGATCCTGAGAAAAAAGGGAGGAATGTGATCAGCAAGGTGCCGTACCACCAATTTCACTCGATCGGCAATGTAAAAACATTGAAAGCATCCAACTCATGGCTCAAGAGTTCATCACAGAAAGGACGTTGACAAATTTCTAAGAAAAAATTAGACAGTTTAAAAGAGCCCAAACTAGTAGATAGCAACAGACGATGCAATGCCGACGAGAAAACTAACCCTGGAACTTGAAGTTCTCAACCAAGAACGTTTCAAAGGCGGTGATTCTACGGAGACAACAGAACTTCACTTAACCAAAGTTTGATCGTTAAAACCATCGCATATCTCTACATTACTACGAAGTGGTCGCCTAGAATTCCTCAAACTCAGATGGTATATATGAAAATGACGACGACACGAGAGGCCAGCAAATGCGTTTAAAAATAACGGCAATTATATCACCCGTCTGAAATCTTGGCGAAGTATTGAAAATGATTCTGTAGAGGAGCGGAGATTACTCGAAAAATGAGTAAAGCAAAAGAAGAACCTGTGGTAGACAAGTTTCATCTTGTAGCGATCAGCACCACGGTACCTAGCGCGAGTTAAGAGATTGAACGTGGCAACCGGCCGCCCTGATTGAGACTCATCTATCGTGACTCCAGAAGAAGCAACAGAGCCGAGGAGTGTTATCTATATCCAGGATAACGAGTTTTTACAGCAAAAATGTTCAGAAAAATGAGGAAATTTAATTAATAAGGGGGAATTTGCTGGAGCCGCCTGAAAAAAGCAATTTTGGAAATGGGTCCCATAAGATATAGACATTTCAGATTCGCTTTGCCAAATATCACAATGAACACTTCTCTTCCCTTTGAAAATGGAGTGATGAAAAGGGAGACAAACAAAGGCAGTGTGTAACAAGAGTAGTACTATTACCATGTTTATTTCCAGCAGCTGGGTTTCCGAAAACAATAAAATGAATAGGAACGACCTTCCTGCACGGCAAGTCTAACTCAAGCTCAAAACGCGTAACCAGATCACTAACCTCAAAACATAGTCACATGCTTACCTGGTTAACGTCCGATGAGAAAATTGCATTAGAGTCCGAGAACCATTCTGTGCATCGTCTCAATAATGGCTGCGAGAACCTAGCAACACAATGCCTCAGCATTGGAACCTGAATGCAACCGACAGAATTGAACAAACCGCAAAACACGCGATTTTCAAACATGCTGTTACATACGATGGCATCAGGATATGAAATATTAAATCCGTTAGCATAAAACAAGTAGCAATTTGATGGGACCCAAATTTGGACAGCTCTCTTGAACCCTATGATGAAAATAATGCTTTTCCTTGCTTAATATTTTGATTTGACATATACACACCAACTTATTTTGCAAAATTTTATGTGGATCATTTTTTTATTCTATAAATAATTGCAGTATTTTGTGGATTTACCCCCACATTTGGTAAGAATTTTGCTTGTGTTCAAGCTGATTACACCTTCGGGAAGCGTATTTGCGGATCAGGCCAATGGTCTTAATTCTTCTGGTTATGTTAATTTTTTTGTGCTCGACTTTTGTCAGGAATAAGACTTCGTCTCATTGATAATACTTTGCTAACATTAATGATAATGGGACAACTCAGTCGCTTGAAAGCCCATTCACAGATTTGTGAGATTGTTCACTGTATGGTAGGCGGCAGTTAGTATAATTGAATGCTAGTACTCAGAGAGGAGAGAAGAATTAAGGCTTTAGCTTGGCTCAAAAGTCTGACCAATAAAGTAATATTTAACCGTTAGGCAGTCGAATGCGTAAGCTTTTATCCTTACTGTCATACAAGCATGTAAATCCGAGGTGCTAAGGCTGAAAGGTCCACAGAGTAGAATGTGCAGCGCTATCAAAGTATAATGACTACCTCAGCCTCTTCCTTTTATCATTTTAATACTGCTTTATTCACTGCAACTTGTTAATAATGAGATTTCATCCTATCCTTTAAAACTCTTTCAAAACCTCTGTTAGCAGACGAAAAGTGGTTTGACCACAATGTTAAACATGGTGACTGGAGGCGAATCTTACTGGATTAGCAAAGCCGAAGTCCAAACCATTCTTAGCAATGAGCGCATGCTTAAGGCGAACCGCATTTTCGCTGCAACTTTAGCATGTCAATGTCCTTCGTCTGTTGCTTTCTTTTACTCTGTTCTAACTTTACTTATCCCATACACTGTCCGTGGACCCCATCTGCGAAGTAGTAGCTTGGAGGCGTCTTCAGCTTCTCACTTAATTGGCTTTCCCTCCTTCCTTAAACGCATTGAAGTCACAATCCTAAATTCAGTGTTTATGTGACCTTTGTTGACTCGGTCATCCTCAGCCAAAACTCCTTCCCTGTGGTTAAATCAGAAACTTGGCCTATCCTAATAGCCTGCCAGTTCCATCGTAATAGGGTTTTGGATTCTCCTAGTACTCCCATAAAATATTGTGCTGCTGCTGGAAACTAACTTTTACCATCTTTCAAACGGCTGTAAATCCGCTGTCATGCCTGTGTGAAATTGACACCAAGTGGATCTGCCACCTGCGCAATCAAAACGGCTTCACTTTAGCTCCATTTTATCTCTAATGCCTTTCCTCATCCCATATTCAAAGCCCCGGTTTGAACATGAATGTATTCGTTTGGTGGCTGGTAATAATTGGCTTTGAGGCTCCGCTATCGTACATTTTCTTCACTCTAATTGGAGGTGGAGTGTCGTAGTAACGGAGCTCCGTATTTCAGGCACTTACGTTGCTAGTGTCTTTAATATTCTACTTCCACTGGGCCGAGTAACCTCTTGGTCGTGCCGGTGGTCTGCCAGGCCGTATGTACTTTGATGTTACATCACTGATGGATGGGCAAAAGTGCACCTGAACTTAAAATGCATCTCATTTTATGACTCTCTCTGAATGTCAAACCTTAATGCGATAAGAGAGGGGTCTGTGGCTAATGTGACGCTCTGTGACAATTCGTTGCCAATATCCTTAAGTCCTATGTTTTTCTAGATTACTAATGATAGACGAGTCGATATAGATGCGTAGCAGAAATTCATTCGCCATAAAGGTTTTGACGGAACTTGTATGGGCGTGTGAGACCTCCTTTGTCAGCTTACTGCCTGATAGCGACCATGCAGACAAGAGCGAGCAGACATGAAACTTTATCCCTAAAGTTCTCAGCTAAGTCTTGATCTTGGAGATGGAACTGCCCTGTTAGGTCAGCTGCACTACTACTGGTGATGAGTATGTGCAGCGGTCAGCACATTTTACCCTTCTTGTAGCGGTGTTTGGAGATAGACTAAGCGAATTGATTTATTGGACCACTTTGATTTCCATTTCAGCTTCTGCACCACCCTTTCAAATGAACTCTCAGAGGTCTATTTACTTATAAGTTCCTTATTTAGCATTAGAGTGCAAAATAGAGAGGATAGTGGAGGAAGGGACGGAACAGAGGTGCCTACTTTAGTCGGGACGACTAACTCCTCGAGCAAAGTTTACAACTTGACATCCCGCTCCTGACCCACAAGGTATATTTTAAACACATTTTGTTTGTTGAAGTTAATCCAGAGGGTATCTAGAAGTTGTACAGTAATCAACCATGCTCTACCGCCTTTTGTGAGTCAATGGGCACCCAAGACAGGGGTGTGGGTCCATAAAATGCTTTAAATATTTTTTTAAATTTGCGATTGTCCTTTTGCCATGCTGCTTGGCCATCGGAGGTCGGCAGTATGCATCTCAACTCATATTTATGTCTTCATTTGCATCTTCATATAAGGCTCGGTATTCCACACTCCCCTCACGGATGAATGATTTGTTCGCCACCTTAGAAATATCATACTTTGATATTTCCACAAAAAAAAGTTTAAAATTGAACTAGTAAACAATCAGTAGCACAGATTACGTGGTTTAAAAGCAAACTCGCTTTAAGGTTTTTGCTGAAGCGTTGGTGGCATGGCGCTGGCAGGACTCTGTACCTGGAGGTAGGACAAAAGCAGAGCATGAGATAAAACTGTCAGTGCCGTTCCTTTTCCTTCTCTGCCCCCTCCTTCCTTCCCCTTGCCTCCCCACAGGTCTGCAACCTTTGAGACTTTTAATTAGACATCGTATACACTACGTGAAGGTTGGATAGACAGTGTTGCAGAGATTTGCTCCTCGTCTATAGCCTTCAAAAACCTCACTTCCTGCAACAAACCCTATATTTCAAATTTCCGCCACTGGCCATTGAGGTATACCTAAACAAGCGATGTGTATTACATGGTCTCTATTGCTTTGATTAGTCAGATAGACAAACACATTTCAAGCCAATTGCGATTATCCGGTAAATTCGGATCACGACAGATGTAAGGTGAAACAGGAATCACCTCGAGAATAAAAAAACTTTAACCACTAACAAAATTTCCATTATCCTTGGTAAAGAATGAAGGAAGGAAGGCTAAAAACTTTATGTTGGCATTACTTAACACCACACACAGCAGTCTAAGACGCAGTGTCAAGGTGGCGCAGTTTACCCACATCTCCACCTTCGACACCTCGACCAATTGTTGGACTCTCATAGCATCGAAGAATCGCTCCGCTCTTGAGAGTGCATACGAGGTTGGCTAAATGCATCCTTTGCTTAGAAAACCGGACCTTCATCCGATTATACCTGATTTTGTGAATGAGTTTGATATGCAACTCGTTGTTCATATCACTAGGAAACGATGTCATCTGACCACTGTACTCAACAAAACCGCTTTGACAGGGTTACAATTGTGTTAAAACTCGATTCTGCGGAACATTATAATGAGCTTTTTTTATTGTGAAAAGGAGAAAACTAGTCATGCGTTTTGGTGCGACACCCTGATGGCAACCTTATGGTGGCTGAGCCATAGACTGGATCGCTTCCATCAGATTCGGCCTGAGCTCTGTTGGCCAGGAGCAGTGAAGCATCGCTTTTTACCTCGATCGTGGAAGTGTCAAGTCGAGTCTATCGGTGCGGTTCCGTGGACAACTCTCCACCTCCGATCTACAACCTGTAGAGCGTTGACAAACATCACCTGTAGGCCTTGTGACTCTGAGTGTGTCAGTAAGCGAGTTCTCATCTTTTATTCAACTGGTAGGTACTTTGACGTAAGTCCACCAGAAACTTGTCAGGAGGGATTCCCTCTCCCCTTGTCATGCCCACTTCTGACTCTTCATCTTGTACTTATTTGATTTTTAAGTCTTGAAAATTGTCACATCCCCTCGCATCTGGTTTAGTGGAGGTTGCAAGTCGCCCCTCTTACACTACAATGGTGGTCCACACGGGGCAGTAGTCGTACGTTCAACTTCTTCCCCTTAAGACACGGACCTCGCTGCTTGACCTTTGGTTTGCTTTAAAAGTCAGGAGTGGACAAAAGGGGTAGGAGATTTCGTACTCCCCAACTTCCTACTTCAAGTAACCCTTTGCAGATACCCCCAGCCAGCACAACTACTTCAGATTTCATGATGACGGCATACGGATGTGCCAAATAAACTTGAAAATACTGCACATCGTTGAGTTGAAAAGTACTAGTTCAGGGAGGAGTTGATGGATGCAGTCCTATGGCAATTATATCTGCCCTCGTTCAAATTCCAAGCCCAGCAGCACCACGAGGTGAGAGACACTTTCATCCACATGATTGCCATTCTTATGACCTGCTTAAAAACTAATCATCTTCTCATTGCTATTTCATTGTCATTTTGTAACAAATCCGCCTCTGGTTACTAATGACAATGGCATTGAATAAATTGCCTTCACATCACTAAGATGTAACGTGGGTCGGCATTGTCATGATGCCTTTCGACAGCTCCTTCCGTCCGCATTTTATCTTCCCAAATCCATAGATGGGATGTGCATTTTTGGTAGTCTGACCTACCCTGACGCCTTAAGTCATTTAAAATGAGGTGTTATTGAAGCTTTAGGGGAACCTCCACTTCGTTGGGACAATTTGAATACCTCGTAAGTTTCACATGTGTTGTACCTTTGGGGGCTGGTGGCCGAAAATGGCCACAAGAGCACCTCATTAGTGGTATTTTTAGAGTCCTGCGATCTCACTACCGCTAGTATATCGAAAGAGTGGGAATTAAAGTCGGTGAATTGAAAATACCACAAGCGGGCAACCGTCTCTGTTGTATTAGTGGGCAATAATTAGTTGGATTTGACTGCAAACCTGCCACACCACTAGTACAATGATAACAACTTTGATCGCAAATCTCAGGTCGCTCCTAAAAATCTAAACCAAAGGCAACGGTAATGTTAATTATAGCAATAAGAAAAAGTGAAGAGAATAAAAGCTGGTAAAAAATGGCCGCTTGTTCTCGTATCATGGTCCTGTAGACAAACAAGCTCTCACCTTAGCAACATCATTGATTTACCTTGTCCGTCTACCACGAAGCACACCGCTACAACGGGTGGCTTTCGCTCCAGCCCAGGGTTAGTTGACTGCCCGCATTTTGACGGAATGAAGTACGGACAGGCGAGCGAACAGACAGGTACCTGCCCCTCCACGAACGAGCGACGGTCTTTGCATGTGTGGACACCCAGGCTAACTGGGCGCATTCCCATGAGCTGAACCAATCAGGTGGCTGCGCATAATTATTCTCATTTTTCAGCATTGCCCCTACACGGGCGCATTCCCTCAGCTGCCCCCTGGAAGGAGTATTTCCTCTAAATCAACATGAATCGTTTAAAAGGGCTGTCTTTTTTATTACTTTTGAGCTTCCTATCCCAGCGTTCATTGGGCTTTCAATTAGAAGGTGGATTTGGTGTCTTCCCTTTCACCGAGACTGGTCCAGTCGAACCCGAACACGAAGCACTCAACCGTCGTGATGAGACTTACAACACAGGCCAAGGCTATGGAGGGGATCTACTTCAAACTCTCCAGACGGATCCCCAAGCAGTTACTCAACGTGATCGGCTAGTCGGAATGCTATTCGCCAACTACAAGACGCATGAACGTCCAACCGAAAAATTGGACATTCCCACCGTAGTAGAAATAAATATGAAGGTGCTTGCTATCTTCTCCGTCGACGTACGCACTATGGACTACTACATTGATGCTCTTCTTCGTCAGACCTGGATCGACCCCCGACTAGCATGGAATCACCGCGAAGACTTCCAAAACTACACCCAACCTCTAGTCTCGCCTACATTGAAAGAGAATCTGTGGCTACCTGATTTGTTTTTCCGGAACGGAAAAGACGGATACTTGCACAAAATGACCCTCCCTAACTACCTCTTACGCGTTCATCCCAATGGAGAAGTGTTGTATAGCCAGAAGATCACTATGCGATTTTCATGCCAAATGGACCTCGCCACCTTCCCTATGGACACGCAGTACTGCCACATGAACATTGGCAGTTATGGCTATACGCTGAGTGAACTTAAGTTCATATGGAGGGAGAAAGAACCAGTGGAACTGCAAAACAACCTCCAGCTTTCCGAATTTAACACACCAACGAATTTCACCACTCTAGATTGCACAGCTCAGTCATCCACATCCACTGGCAACTACACCTGCCTCATGGCTCAGTTTAGTCTTAAACGTCAACTGGGCAGCTACCTCGTCACCACATACATCCCCAACATTCTAATCATCATGGTTTCATGGTTGAGCTTCTACGTTTCAGTGGATGCCGCGCCAGCTAGAGTTCCTCTGGGACTTCTCAGTCTCCTGGGTTTGTTGACACAGGCTTCCTCAATCACTGGCAACCTTCCGCGTGTGTCATACATCAAAGCCATCGATCTGTGGCTCATCTTTTCCATCATCTTTGTCATTGGAGTGTTGGTTGAGTACGCCATCGCAATTACCATGCTGCGACAGAAGAGGAAGGAGACATGGCGAGGCGATGTTGAATTGATAGTGAAGGAAGAGTTGACCCGTTGGTTGGCTGCGTGTGAACAAAGTCAAATGGCCAGTATGCAGGGGAGTGGGTGCGTGAGGGGCGATCAAGGCTTCATCCAACAGCAATTGGCCTATTTCAATGATTTGGATGCCTTTCTAACCAAATCAGTGATTGAGGAGACGCGAGCTAAGAAGGGTGGCAAAAAGAGTCGCATTCCAGTGGCTGTGGAGTCAGAAATTGACGCTTACAGTCGCTTCCTCTTTCCCACATGTTACATTATGTACAACATTTTCTACTGGACTTACTACCTGGCTATTGTGAAGAAGTGACTCCCATCCACACTTCTCTGCGATTCAACTTAGAGGTTCCTTCCAGTTTCCTGTGCTTCGACATCGTCCATGCATGTGTATGTAAGCATATGATCTGTAAATTAAACAACACCGTCGAGGCACTGCGTCACCACCGTGTGGACTCATTTCCACACCCTCCAGTCTTCGGTATAAAGCATTTATGCATGATGAGCCGTTCTATTCCTGAAAGCAATTAAAATTGCTTTAAATTCCCACTCCTTCCTACAGAAGACGCTAGACATTTGGGCTTCTAAGAACTGGACAGGAAACACCTCCTCCAGTCCCAAATCTTCAGTCAGTAAAGTAACCAAATCCAAGCTCCTGATAATTGGAAGGATGTTTTTTCCAACGGTAAAATTAGCCTTTTGAGAGGTTTCATTGCATTTCTCAGTCTGTCTTTGGTAACAGTGAGCATCAAACTACACCACCACCACGGCAGGGGTTGACAATCGTCAGGTTCTGTCGACTATCTTCTGTTAGTACTGAGCGCGTTGAGGCTCTACGCAAATCATTTGGTGCAAATAGGTGGATTTCACTTTCGGCTACTACCACACTCCGAGGATTACGCGTCCAAATGACTGAAAGAGGAGCCGATCTCTGTGCATATCACAGAGGAGCCGTGAGGTGAGGTGTCAGGCGTTTTCGAGGCCCTAATTCGTCACAGTCACTAGCTAAATGGCACTCATGGAAAACGGTAGTAAAAAGTAAAGTTTAAAGACGCTGTGAAACGCAAACCTTACGTTAGGATGCTGCTATGAGTGTTTGAGCAGCATTTGTTCTTCATTTTTGTGCCTACACTTTAATTGGAGTACCTCCAAATTCATGCCTCGTCGATGTAGAATTCGTTGGTGCTTGCATGGGAGCATGTGATCGTGGTCGCGCCCTCTTTAATGCAAGAAGGTCGACTTTGTGGGTCGTACTACACCAGCTGATGGCTTAGAAGTCGCAGAGAACACTTCACCTCACGAACAAAGGCATATTTTCCTTACATGGACTTGCCTTTTTGGCGGCCCATTAACTAACAACACAAATTTTAGTTGTTATTTTAGGTAAAGTGCCCCAATTAGTAAAGAAATTTTCCGAAGTAGTTATCAAAATCTTTGAAAAAATGACGGTACCACGACTTCTCGGTGGAGGATTGAACGAAATAAAATTCACCAAACATGGCGCATGTTCAGCGGCGACTTATTTGCTGCATTATGCATTATTTGTCGCCTAATGCCCTTGTTGTCGTGAGAAGGCCCGACACTTTACTTACGCCAAACACTTGATTTCCTTGGAAAAGCGGCTTCTAACACTTAAGCCCCTTGAAACTGGTTTACAGAGGAAGCAATGTGTAATATGTGGGCAGAATGTGCATTACTGACGGGGGGAAACACTGCCACTGTGGCCCAGAGGTCAGATTACTGGCATAGTGCCATGGCAGTCATGCAATTGTTACCACCACCATCGAAATATCACACAAAAATGTGAACAATCAGTCGCGTAACAACATTTCATTCCTTTTACCCAACCCGTCCCTTAAGCGACAAAAGTCTTATTCATGCGGAAAACAAGCTTATTTCTAGCAGTTCATCAATGGAGTGCAAGTGATAGTCGTTGACCTGCAACAACGCCTTCTTCCCTGCTCTACTCGTCTTAGTTAAGACAAATGAAATGGTAGTTGGTGAAGTGACGATAACAACATTTTATTGGAAACCTTCACATTTTCACTAAAGTAATACGGAAGATTCTACCACCATAGGCTACAAGTACATGCACGACTTGGGTGACAGGCAGCTGTCATCTGAAGTAGGAGGTGAAAAATGTCAGAATGGCACTCTCGACCTGAAAGAAATGCACTTTGCGCAGGTCACCCCGTCCATAAGACGTCCAGTCTAATGATTTTATTTAACCGAAGTAAATGTTAGTTTGAAATCGCCGTGCAACCCATTAATGTCACCGGCATGTCCATTAGTTGAGTGAAACAAATTCCAGGCATTACTTTTGTTGTATGTCTATATGTAGAGTTTAAGAGATATTTTTCGTAATTTGTGAAATCTGCGACCTCTTTTTTCTCTATTTTTCCTTACTTATTGGTTCTTAATCATAAAGATGGAATATTTGTGGGAGAGCATTTCCATTTTTCCTTTCATTGCTAAACATGAAGCCTTTTGTCAACTGATTAATATACGATATTTTATCGTATCTCTTTCATCTCCATGACTCCCACTGGATAAGTATTCCTCCCAGCTGTACTTCCCAGCCGGTACAAGAAGTCGGTAAGTGCAGCTGGATCCATGTGTTCCGAAGACAACAGGACAAATGGGCCTAAGCACGACCCAAAGTCCAGCCCACGTGTACAAGGCCTAGAAAAATCCTAAAGTGAGCGCCAAACGTCATGTCTCAGAGATAAGTCAGTAAAAACAATAGATTGATAAATAAGTTGCTCCTATGAGAGCCGTTAATCTTTTGCCTCATCTGTTTGTGGATAGCGTAGTTATGCTCTGCAAAAATGGAGGCGACGTGGCACCGGAAATTTAAAAGTGACTATTGTTATCGCCAACAAACCAAAGCCAATTTGTCAAAACTGTAAAATGTTCTTTAGCCTAGATTTCTCTGATTCACTTTTATCTATGTTTATCCCAGAGCGTTCCACCTCATATTAGATGTCAACTGAGTGCTACCGTTTATGGCTATTATGATTTCGGCAGCGTTTTATTCGCATCCGTTGTGGCATCTTAGACTCTCGAGTGACAAATAGCGCTACAGATTGAACTACTGATGTCAGCTAACAAATGCACACGAAACAAAGAATAGGCGCACGACAATCGTCTCGATAAGATAGGATCCTGGGGGCACGAGACGGCCATAGCCTTGTGTATACACAACATCAATTTGGCCTTGGCCTTAAATTTACTGCGATTAAAATACATCACTATATTATCGTTTCGAAGATTTCTACTACGTATGGAAAGGCATTGGATTGAGCCGATGTCGTATATGCAGTGGAAAGACGGAGATATCGGATTCCGACTCCATCCAAAGGCCATACTAACAGCAGAAGAGTAAGACAAATGCTAGAATAACCGCCACTCATGCGGTAGTCGCATGAACAAAGGGGAGTTAGCGAGATCGCAACGCTTGATAGCAGGCAAGAGAGCGAACACTCCAAAACTTTGAATCGGCATCTTGGGTATCACTTGCAGGCGATTCTATCAGCTACCTATACTACTTCCTAAGCACTTTGGGACCTGCCATGGAGTGGTTTTGCATTTGACACAATTCCCAGTTTGCCAAGTTAACCCTCCAACTGAGGTGAGACCCAATGACTAAACAAAGTTAATGATGAAGGGATTACTTGAATATTCAATAAACTCAGAGGAATCTTACGGTTCTACTGATGAAACATTGCCTTTCACAATCATGTTGGATAGTCCAAGATCAAGGCAACAGATGTACTTAAGAATGATTAAAATCCGCATCACAACGTTATTACAAAGGTATTTTGGCTCATTTAAAGCGAATAGATGTTATACCATACATCTATAGGGAAAAAATTCCTCACCATCCATCTCACTTTAGACTACAACCAGAACGACTGCGTTGTGCATGCAGCAAGGTAAAGACAATGTTCTCTCTCGGTCACTTGCACCAGGAATCTGTTGATTTGAAGAGAAGAGGCTTATAGAAAGCATCTATTACTGGCGTCTCGCTTAGATATTCATGATCTTCTGGTATGACAGAAAGTACCGCTTTAGGAATAGAGGAGCCGCTGCCACATCTTCCTTCATGTTCCACCCACAGTGGATGCTGCGCATCTTGACGTCGCGCAATTCCAAGCAAGGCGAGGTGGAAACATCAGTGAGTGGTGCTCGACTTTGTCATGGATTTGTGAAACAGATTGCCCTTTCTCAAAGATGGCAACTACTTTGACTAATCCAGTCAACCCTACTGATTTCATTACGCGCCCTACTTAATAAATTATCAGTAGGAACCATCGAGCAGTGATGTTTTGAATCCCGGTTGTAAGTTGCATACTGGTAGAAAGAATGCTGCTCCACGAATTCACAAAATTATGACGTCCCCAAGGTCGTATAAGGTGAAATTTCTAAAAATGCAGAAGTTACCCTCACTTGAAATCAGTAAGGCTGAAAACCCAGTAACCATCACATTCAACATCAGGACAGTCCAAGTGCGATAACACTAGATCTTTCATTTTTCAGCTACGTGACACACGCCTCCCCATGCAGACTGCAGTTTTATTTGCGTGATCTGTAAATGCGATGTCTGCGCAGTGAATGAAAATACTCATCGTATTAATGCTATTTCCATAATTGATGTTCGAGTTGAGCAGTTTTAACAGTTATGACTTAGAATAATTCATGAGAACGTTGAAAGATCAACAATCGCAGCCAAGATTCGTTTCAATCGCCAAACTAATTGCTACGGCTTTCGAATGCTTAAAAGTGGGTAAGGTAATCGACAGAAAACAAGCTCGTCGAGAATAATGTTTAGGAGCATTACAAACACTGCCGTTGAAGACACTTGCGGTAGAACAGTGCTATAGGCCAACAGATTCGCGAGCACAGAGAGGACTTAGACACAACTGCACGACTAGATTGAACAAACAAGTACATACTGAGGCACAAAATACAGCTATAGGACACCTGGAACAATACCACCCACCATTACTTAGTAAAAAGAAGGGATTTTAAGCTCTACATGAACGGCCAATCTATTGAGCGAGTAAATTGTGATGTCTTATAAATACGGCAGCCCATTTGTTTACACGAAAGGCATTTATTTAAAGTAAATAGGATACGAAAGTTTCTTCCAGGATGGATATCTAAGGATATGGTCGAAATAACAAGAATTCAGCTTATAGGATGTACAGAAAATGTTCATGAATGGAAAACTTCCTGATAGGCGCTAAATATCATTGGGAGTTCTGGCCTTCCTTCGCGGGTTATCGTAAGGGAATTCCAGATCACCGTTATAGTGCATTCTAACGGGCGGCAACCGTGGATCTGTATTCTTGCTAGCTCCAAAGTAGTGTTTGTTGAAGTAATATTCGTCCCGTGGTTTATCGTCGTAGAAAGGAAGACGAATGTCTGGATTGCGAAAGAGACAAGTCACGGTATACATGGCTAATGAAGCAAGACCGCTCCCCACAACAAAAATAAGATATGAGACAGCGAAATTTTTCTTCATCCACGTAAGCACAGCTCCATTGCGTCGTGGAATTATTGCCAGCTTGTTGGATATAGGACTCAGTATGGGAAGTCGTGAAAAAATCATGGCAAGCAGTACCTCGGTTGAATGAAACTAACAGCTATACGTACGCGCACACGTAGAACAGATGCAGCCCCAGAGACCAATAGCCTTTAAGTTACTCATTCATTGGTCAACATGACATGGTCGATAATGTTGCATATTCAAGTACGTGTGCGCAGTTATGCTGGTGCTGATTTCTCGTTGTGATGGCATACTTTGGGCTCACGTATCGCTCTGCAAGTCATCAGACATGAATTGTTATTTGTCGCAACATTTGCTGTACAGCCATAAATACATGTAATTTGAGTGTAGCAAGTTAGCAAATGTTGGATCTTAGTTTCAAAACGAATTTAATATACCAATCAGAAAAATGAGTGTGATTGCGTCTCAGGTGTTTATGTCTTGGAATTTTCATATTCCTTTTGGAAACTGTTCATGCATATCAATTCAATGCTTCCAACTGAACTGCCTGTCCGCAGCTACCACACTCCTGGAAAATATGCAAGTGAGGAATTCGTGTATGCGATGTGCGTGCTTATGTGGGTATGCGCGTCCTGGAGCAGCTATCTTGCTGTATTTGAACCTGTGATAATCCTCTTCTAGATCTGCGATGTGTTCTCCGTTTGGACCACCATATGATTAGCAGAACTTCATTGTCTTTTGCGTTAAGTGTAGTGCCTTAAGGTCTTTTAATGCTGCCGGTTATTTTATGCCCCGAGAAATCCGTTTTCTTTGGTACTATTTGAGTTGAGAAAGGATGCGATGCGATGCATGTGAGCTGTCGATGACCCTTTAGCATTCAATTCTCAAAATTGGCATTTTCACGTTAGTGATGGTGGTCCCGTGATTGGCCCTTTTCTCAAGCTAGTTACCTCTGCAGTTGTAATTTCGCTACGAAAAATATAACTGTCTTAGAAGTACTTTTATCCGAAACAGAGCAAGCAAACGTTAATTGCTTATTTTTAGCAAATTCTATCTTGGAATGGCGGGTGGTAGGCTAAGATTAACCAGGAATGGGTGTTACAGCCCTGTTGTACCTCTAAAACTCCGTGGTTTTGAACTCCGGTCTGGCACAGATCCAGTCTACCAGCTAAGGAATTTCTAATGATGCTTGTGCCCCTACTTATGTGGATCAGTAAGGTAAGGACAGCAGAACCTCAACGACATGTCTCTGCTGGTACCACCAAGGATGTCAACTGTGGGAAGACTGCACTTCTGAATGCCTGTCAACCAGTTTGAAACTTAACCGTCAAATCACCATTCCCAGTCTTTAATTAGCAAATTCTGCAATGAAGAAAATTGCAAATGCGCCCTACCACCCAAATTTACCAGAAACTTTATTCGAGGATGGGAGGATCCATCTATTATACTATCCTCACCTAAAGAAAATGAATTGCTAAATCACTGACGTTGGATTCCTTTGCCGACTGTGAAACGTTCATCTGTAACGTCAACTAGACTGTGATGGAGCCAAATAGGCCAATTCTTCAAACAAATTTCCATCTCTCATCATGTGAATGACAACTCTGCAGGTCTCATTGACGAAGTTAACGCCTCGTTCTGTCGTCGATAGAAGCTGTCCCAATTTTTATGACCTATGTACCCTTGCCCAAACCCAGCCTTTGTTTAGCTGATGTGCCGTTTTTAACTAAACCGAATGTACGAAAGTTTGATCGGTGAAGAACAAGTAAATGTAATCACGAGTGCGGTTTGAAGGATGGCCACAGGACATCGCCTTTGATTAAGTAGCCCCAAGCCGACAGCACCTAATCTCCGCATTCAGTAAAAAATAAAACAGTCGACTGTAGCAGTTGGATTTACGCCTAAGAAAGTGGAATCACAGGCATTAAAATTTGTAAACGTTCAAGCACGATTAACGCCGTCTCCTTCCTTCAAACAACACACGATTCATCAGTAAAAGGTACGAAAGAATAATAATTGCTAGAAAATAGGCAAGGCGGACCTTCTGTCCTCTCTTCATCACACTACGGGGTCATCGACGAGGTTGCTGTTGGTGCTGGCCGCATTGTCACCATTCTCCACGGCCATTTCGTTGCCGGGGTCAGTGAGGCAAATTGAGGAACGCTGAGATTTGATTGCCTGCTGATTCACACTCAGCATACGCTGAATGCCCTCCTTCACGACTTGGTAGTTGTATTCGATGATGCCTGGATGGGCATGCGACGGTAAAGTAAAAAAACCATTTTTTTAAGCAAATACTCTGAACTTTGTGTTCAAAGTTCTGTTTTAGACCAAACAACACGGCAGTGCCGATATTGGAAGTAAAATAACTGTGGGTACCGGCACAACACATGTGAACAAAACTGATTGAAGCCCCAGTAGTGCGATTGGTGGGGAGCAGATTATTATCTACCTCACACATGAAATGTTGCAGGCTTCTGTAGGAGTGAACAGAGTATAACCGGACCATCTTTGCTCCTCCATTTGCGCATTTTATAACGATGAGTCGAATCGCAGTTTAACTTGCCTTGCCTTGCCATGCCAAACGCCAAAGTCTCGGATCAAACATGACTGATAAAGAACACGCCAATGCTGTGCCCTTCAAGTCGCTCGCCCTAGTGTAAGCTACTCAGTCTCTGTAGGTTTTGATGATTATCATCTGCCTCTAGACAATGCATCCAAAATGTGGGAATTGCTAGCCCCCATCGGATACAATTCTTTCGTACGGGAGACAAGACAGTCTGAAAACAATTATCAATTGACCTGATTGTTGATGACCGCTCCTGGCTGATCCAGACATGAGCTACCAAAAATGCACCAACTCACGTGACTCGCGGCGTTGTTGAGGTTAAACTTTACCTAGGGGCGCTGAAGGAACCATTAACAGACAGTGACTACAAATGACAAGAATTAGTCGAGCTACCAACATGACGGCTGTGACCCCGAAAAGAGCTTGCTTACAAATACCAACACACCAGGAATTGTGACAATTTCGTGGGGAATGGAGAGATTTGCAATCTCTTTAGATTTCATACCCAATTCCAGGGCACTGTAGGTTCTCTGTGAATGAGGTAGATAACGTATCATGAAAAACTACAAAAGAGGTGACGAAAAGGGACCCACAAAACAATGCCACCATTTCGACACGAATTTTTGAAGCCAATACGGTGTAACCTTTGCCCACCTATCTTTTCCAGAGACTCCTCGCGCAGGATACACACCAACGCCATGTACCGATTGATTCCGCGGAGGTAGATGACCGTCGCATTATTCAACACTATAGTCGACGAAGTTTGCTCCGAGAAGGGTGGATCGCTGAGTTCCGAAGCGGGACTGAAGCAGATGAAAGGACAAATGCAAACCCCTGTGTCTATTGTAATGTCTACGTAGGTAACACATAAAGGGCGAAGCAGGTTTGGATATCATGATTCCAAATACGGACAGAGACACCAAGACAATGCCCACACTTACTAGACCTTCTGAAATGCGATTGAGAGAGGCAATATTATACTCATACGCGCTAACATCCACCGTGATTTGAGAAAAATTCGCTTACGTGTAGATGGAGGAAATGTTGGTCACTACGTCTATCATGTCGCAGCACAGCTCGTACGTCTGAATGTCTACCAACGTTGAGTCTGTTGCGAGATAAATTTTTGTAGCCACATCAAAGAGGAACGCTTTGTCCAGCACGGAACTCTAGAGCGGAGAGAGAGAAGAAAGAAGTGACCTTGGGGATCACTGTGTAGGCTTTTATCTACGACTGAAGCGCACTCACCGATATGAAAATGTTCAACAGATCCTCGAAGGCATCCAAATAGGGAATGAGTTTCTGAACTACCTTGCTGAACGCCTCGAAGACGGAATGATCGTAGATGGTGGTTAGGTGGAATCTAAACAGGCAAACATTCCATACAGATGTAATTACTTTCTTATACTATGATTATCAGCAACTTAAACCCTCTCCAAATACGTTGAAAGATATTTAGTGGGTGTTAGTTATAACCAGACCTTTCTCCTCACAAAACTGAGGAAAAAGTTGACAAACATCTTGATAACAACCGAGTTGAATCTACAAGATGCATTACGGTGAGGGCATTTACAAGTGATTGATACTTTAACTATAAGTCTCGATGGCATGATTTTATGGCCATGCTTGTGGATCCCAGTTCTCCCATATACAAGCAATAACCTATTCTCTTTCAAATGTACAAACTGCAATGCCTTCAATGCTGATTCAAGGTGCCACAAACAAAGTCAAAAAGAGAATACTCTATCGTAAGAATAGATTTGTGAAGACCTAATCGCCGGAGATTCACAACACAAACGTTATTAAGGTTACCGATAACTTTGGTGACCAGTTTGGTTGTGTTTTGCCATAAATTGCTTGGAAGAAACGCAATACCTGAAGACTTTTATTTAAAAAGGAGTGATGCATGTTCCAGATTGATGGACGCTGCATTCTATCTCCGTAAGGCTACATCAAGTGCAATTAGGCGTCATAAAACCAGTGATTTGTCGACGGATCCACCAAAGAAGGTTCGACACATGATGAAGGTGGTTTCTGAGGCGAAAACTCAATTGGGAAGGACTGCAGAGCACAGAGGAGTTCGTCCTAAATGCATATCTAGCGAGGTCAACTTTTGTCAGAACTAGAAAACGCCCAAATCTACTCTTAGGCGAACACTTGCAGTTTGGACGCGTCCTCATTCAAAGCCAAAAGTCAGAAAGCACTGCGATGGTACAAGAGGAATCAGACACAGAGCCATCTCTTCACACACAAATGCGACTCCTAGCATGAGATGGGTGGAATTTCCAAAAAGGTTTAATGCATCCATCTCACTCGACAGCCTCTCTCGAAGTGAGCGACTATGAAGAGAAAAAAACTAGAGTATGGTAGTGAAAATGATTAACTAAATGCCATTGTCAACTCTCTGGTAGCTTCAAATTGGCAGCAATACATACGGAGAGTAAGAGTTTTAGAGAAAAATATACTTTAAATTGGATAGTTTTTTGACGAAAATTTCACCTAATGAGACACTTAATGGTTGAGATAGATCAAAATTTTTAATAGCTAAAATAGAAAGTGAGCATTTACCCAATTGTAACGTTGGATGAGTTATAATTGACCGGATTGTGCGAAGCTACGATGTCTTCAACGATGTTATTGACACGTTGTGTAATATCTCGTTGGATTTCAATTTTTTGGTCATCCAAAAGACAGTCAACTTTGTGGATGAAGACCTCGTACTTTATTTTTGGGTTCTTCTTGTAGGCATATTCAACCGTTGAAGTTAGACGATGCAGCGCCGACATGTAGTCATCCTACAAGTTGACACTGAATTACTTTAGAGTTGAAAACCTCAATCTAAATGCGGCGCGTACGCACTTGTGCATCGATAACGAAAACGATGGCGCCAGAATCAGAGAAGAGCGTATCTGAGAGGAAATTGGAATCGCAGAAATCAATGTGACCCGGAAAGTCCCAAATTTGAAATTTGATGAAGGAGCAGTCAGAAATATCTTTAAAAGCCAAAAATGATGATGAAAAGATAATAGAACGTGAGGAGTATAAATGGCAAAATAAACAACCCACCATTTTTTTCAATTTTGTTTGTGCTTTCCAAATAGAGGGTTTCAGCAGGAGCAAGTTTATGAAAGACCACTTTTCGAATAGAGGATTTACCGCTCCTAACATTTTTACTTGTTATAAAGCATAAGAAGCTATTACCCCTTCAAACCCATCAGAAAGATCTTCGGCTTTTGGTCAAACGTTTCGGAGTCATCCATTTTCTTTCTAAAGTTGGACATTAAAGGGTAAAAAGCGTGATAGGAAGGCCTGTAAACGCGTAAAGAACAAAGTCACACGACGTAGCCTAATAAAGTGCTCCCAATCTTAAGGACTACCTGACTTTGTGACTTTAAAACAAATGAAAATCTACTCACAGCCAAAAAATGAAAATTAGTTGGTGCCTCGCAGCTTAAAGTTAACCATCACTACCATTTGCAAGTTACACAATACGCAATATCCGTTAAAATACCAGCTGACTACCATGAAACTTCCGCTGCACACCATAAATGCGTATCTGATTTGTCAAAGGTCCGCATTTAGGGAACGCGGTTAATATATCTTACCGTCTATACGTCCATTGAATGCTGATAAAGTTTGTATGCTTTGTATCAGATAGAGACAAGGCCTATTTCCTTTATTATTTGAACAGCATCTAATACATGCCTTTTGAAGTGGCCTTATTCCTTCGGTAAATTGTTACATTCCCAAGTGTAAGACGATTCACCTGGATTTCAAATACTTGCCGTAAAGGATTTTTTAACCTAAATCTAGTAATGCGTTGTTGATGTGACTAGCTGAGATTTGGCAGACACTTAAGGATTTGTCTAGTCCTTATACACGTGAGCTGGACTTTGGGCCATGCTCAGGTTCATTTGTCCTGTTGTCTTCAGAAAACATGCATTCAACTGCACTTACTGACTCCTTATATCGGCCACGAGGCCTCAAGAAGTTACACTGGTGGCAGTGAAAGCGAACCCGACATTTTTAAGACCACTTTTAGGTATAAAGTGCTTTGGATGATCTTCTGATCTAGCCGAGTTGGGGTCTCTATCTGCCACTTGTTCTTCTTTGGTCGTTTGTTAAAAGCGACGTAGTGTACAGGATAATCTATTGTCCAACAGACACCGCAGTCTTACTGCCATCCTACGTTTGTTTTGCTAAACTTTGCCAATTAATCGACTGATTTCCGGATAAGGACAGCACGAACAAACCGACGAGCAACGGTTCGATCGGATGATGCACTGGTTCAATACATGCAGATACCTCATAATCGGGTTCTCTCGGTCGGAAAGTCGAAATCTCTCTTTTCACGACATGAAGGTTATAATCCAACCAGCAGACGAGACT